CACCCTCCCTCTTCCTCCTATGCCCCCTTCCCTCCTCCTCAGAAAAGGGGTGTCCCCCCACCCACCCCAGCATATTGAGTCCCATCAGGACTGAATGCATCCTCCTCCCTTGTGGTATGGTGAGGCAGCCCTGCCAAGAGGACATGGTGGAAAAGCAGGCAACAGAATCCATGTCACAGACAGTCCGTGCTCCCCTTACTAGTGCACCCATAAGCAGACTAAGCTGCCCTTCAGCTACTCTCTAAAGTGGAAGGCAGACCACTCTCATCCCAGAGCAGCCCAGGGAGAGATTTAGACTCTAGTTCTGATATGTAAATGTGGGTGAGTGGGGTTTATCTAGAGATGTGAACAATCTAAAGATTCAGCTTTTCGTGGGTAGTGGAAGAATGAGGCATTTTATGTTTACCAATAATATGAACATGAATGGAAGTTGCATCTACTCCAGACTGGCATTGAAAGGCACGTCACATTTCACCTAAAGGTTGGCTACAACACCCTACAAGCTGAGGTTATACTGTAATTATGGGATGGGAAGATGTATTTCATTATACTATATATACATTATATTATATACACACACATTCATTAAACAGTGAAGGCTTGTCAAAAGCTCTCCAGCATGTGTGTATACATATGCTTTATTTTATAACTAATAAGTTAATATGTCTATATGCTTTATTTTACTACCTTAGCAACAAGGCAAACCAGTACTCTATTCCTCAGTGTTTGCAAAAGGGATCAGGGAACCCAAAAGAACATTGTTCCCACAAATATATGATGAAGTCAGATCATTTCACCAAAGCTGCATTATTTTTTATTAAGGTAAGTCTCTAGTCCTCTTGATTGTCCTACCTTCCCCTCCCAAATGCTGAGATTATAGGCTTGTGTCACCTCACCGGGTTTAAGCAACACTTGAACCCAGGACCTTGTGCATTCTGATTAACTCTACCTAATGAGCTGCATCACCAGCCATACAATACACACTTTGAATAAAAGAAAACATTGGTGTGAGAGTCACCTCAGGAACGCTTATTTACTGAGGTTTCTATTTCCCAGATGGTTTCCATGCTCAGTAGTCAGCTCTCCTGTTGCGCTACCTACTGATTAGCATCTGAAGCCGGCATCTGATCTAACCCAGAGACAGACAGGATTTCTGATTCCTCAGCTGTCGATGCTGAGCCTTTTCGATGAGCATACACAGTGCTGATACCTTGCGTTCAAACCTATATAATTAAACATTTATACCTACAGTTGTTATCATGTGAGTTAATGTTTAATCAAAGTGCCTTGTCACAGTCCTGGGTTTGATATGAGCAAAATGTACATACGAAAGTGCTTCTCACTTCTGTAGTTCATGGGAGTGATCAGACCCATGCCTTCAACATTATATTTAGTTGGTGGCATTATTCTTAATGAAATAGATAGACAGATCAGGTATCCTAGCATCCAGATGGCCTGGATGCTAATGTTATAATTAAATAACTTTTTAGATTATTAGAAGATTCTGTTATTTCTTCAATGAACCACAAATAATAATATACATTCTGAAACATTTTTAGTGGGCTATTAATTTTTATTCAGAAATATTGTGTTCCTGTAAGCTTATACCAAAACATTTATCCTGAGAGATTTCAAGACATAACATCACAGCAGGAAGTTCAAAGGGAAAATGGAGATAGGGTTTAGGTTTTGAAGAACTGTAGTAAAACGTCAGAGTCCTCAGAGAGATGAAAAGGAAATCATTTTGGAAGTTAGTTAAAAAGTTGCCTGCTCTGTGATTACCGAAGCTATACTGTAGGAAAGAGGAAAACAAGATTATAAAGGAGAAACATTTGTGGTCTGGGAATGAAACAGGCCAGGAGGAGGTATAAAACATAGATGGCCGAACCTCCACTTCTACAGCGATCACAGACTGGAGTTACATGGGATTTTGAGTTGAGTTTAGTAATAGTTGTGTCAAAGCCTGAAGGTGCTCAGTCGGTATATTATGGGATGTAGAAGCTGGGAAGAGATGTTTGGGTCTCGAACCTTCAGAGTATGGTGCATTTTCCACCTCCTTGCCTATGCTTGATGCTGTTAATCTCTTGCTGAAGTTTCCTGCTCTCGTTCTGGAATCCTTCCTTGAGAAATCGTTCTTGTTCATAAAAGAAAAATGAAGGCTGAACTCACACAGTGTCCCACAGACTCTCCCTCGGTAGTTACACTGAAACCGGGTGGGGGCAGGCAGGTTGGTGTTTGAGACATGTTGTTAGACAGTTCTTAAAACACCAGTGGCCTATGACCCTCAGGTCCAATTCTACAGTCCTTTGGCTCACGTAAAACAACATTTTCTATAAAATCAGCACCAGTTTGCCTTTGGTTTCTTGCCTCATCTCTGAGCTGTGTGGTGTGGCCTCTCAAACACATGTATGAAGGTGATAAAGATGGGCTCAAAGAAAATGGAAGGCTACTACTTGATCTACAATCAAGACAAGGGTTCAATCAAGGAATTAGAAACATGCCCAAAATTTTGACAGAAATATATTGAAGCAGCTGGGGTCTGCGGTCCTCACAGGATAGTCTGGCCCACCATGGAGAACTCAGCACCATTGCAGAAGAATGAAGAGTACTGCAATTCAGCTATTTAATCCATGCGCTTGAGTATGTCGACGGCGAGGGACTTTCATTATTCATTAGGAAGCCTCTAGAGACAAGGTCACATTGGGTGTCAGAAGTGAAATCCCCCTGGGCTCCATTCAGTAGAGAAAATAAGGTGTTATTGTATCAGTAACACCTCATGAGACATCAGTTACATCTCATGAAACTGCAGTGTCCCTATCTACAACGTACACACAAAATAACAGTCTAGATTTATTAAATGGAAAAAAGTAGGAGATACTTAAGCAGCACCGAGCAATTTTGGCCTAATAAAAGGTTTCACCCAGCCATAAACAGCTTTTTCCCACTAGACAGGGCTGGAGATAAGCAGTGAGGGAATGAAAATGCATCAGAGTGTCTGAACTATTTACTGCATCACAGAGGTCTTTATTGTGAAGGTCTTACTTCACAACCCGGGCTGACTCTGAACTAGTCATCCTCCTGCCTCAGCCTGCCGCTAAACTCACATTTTGGTTTTCTTGCTTGATTTTTAGATTCAGTCATATTATTTTAAGTGCATGAGTATTTTGCTTGTGGTGTGTGTAAATGTACCATCTATGTGCCGTGCCTGGGCCTGCAGAGGCTAGAAGAGAGGGTCCAATATCTGGAGCTGGAGTTATGGACTGTTGTATGTCACTGTGTGGGTGTTGGGAACCAGTACTCCGTCCACTGCAAGGGCAATAAATGCTTGTAATGTTTCCAGCCCCATGATACACTTGTTTTGATTGGGGCACAGGAACAGACTAAGAGAATCTGGTCAATTACCTGAAGTTTAAGGGCTATGATTCTTTCCTGTTCTGCTAATAACTGTTCCTGGTCCTGCTGCATCTTCTCCGTCAGCTGTCTCACATGCTCCTGGTAACTCCTTTCTTTCTGCTCCATCATCAGCTCATATTCCTTTTGCCTTTCTTCTAACTCTCTATTTGCAGCTTCAGCAGCTTCAGCCTTTATCCGCTCCGCTGAGGAGGAAAAGTGAAAGAATACAAAGATTAAATTTTATGAGTTGCTTTTGCTTCTTGTTTCCTCTAAACTTTTTTTCTTGTCTGTGATAAAATCTCTTGTGGAAAGTTTTGTACAGAATAACCAGTTAATAAGGAAACAGATGACTGTATGTACCAGTTTTAAAGCACACCATGAATGATGCTTGTGATTCTTTCCCCACAGTGGTCCATATGGACCAATACCGCTAAATGTGTCAAGAGCTCACACATCTGGAGCCTCTTCAGCAGCTCTCACCTTCAACCTCCTTTGCTGCTTCCGTGAGTGACTGATCTGCCTGTAGAAGAGTTTCAGCCACATTGTCCTTGGACTGTAAGTACTTTTTCAGCATCTCTTCTGCCTAGTTGTATAGAATAAGTTGAAGACAAACCAACCAGTCTGTTAAAGTGACATTGATGTTACCAGCTATGCAGCAATTCAAAGAGCTTAAGTTTAATCAACCTAAAACTGACTTAGCGACCATTCCACCACAAATCCTATTCTTTCATAGTCATATCTTTTAACATCTCATGACTCTTAAACTAGTGGTATTTTTGATCTCTTATCTGCTTTGCACATCTCATATGTAACTATGAGCTGATCATGTTGGGTTTAGCCTAAAAAAAAGAAATGTTGCCTCAGCCTTTTGCTTGTCATCTGTTGCATCTAGATCTCACAACCCCAGACTTGCCTCTGTTCCAACTACTGCTTGTTTTCTGTTTCTCTTTGTAGGCACATTAATAATGCATGGCTTA